CTTGAACAATTTCCAAGGAATCGACTTTCTTAAACTCGCCCGGCTTCAAAAAGAAGGCACTGATCTTCATCACGAGTTATCGTCCACAACCCTTAAACTACGCATCAAACAGATGGGAACAGGTAAGGAAACCTTACTTTGTGACGCATCTACAGGTAGGGATCGCTCAATCATGCCAAAACATTATTGCACAAACTTTCTCATCCAGGTGTTTGTGCAACCATCAAGCTTATAGCAGAACGGTTCTGGTGGCCTGGTATGAATAAAGACGTGAGGGAGTGGGCACGCTCCTGTGTAAGCTGCCAAAAATCTAAGGTCATCAGACACATTAAATGTCCCTTAGGCTCATTTAAAACACCCGATGCTCGTTTCGACCATGTTCATCTGGATTTGGTAGAACCTTTACCAGATTCAAATGGATACTCTTATCTCTTAACCTGTGTAGATCGTTTCACTCAATGGCCAGAAGCAGTACCTATCAAGGACATTACTGCTGAAACAGTGGCCCGCAACTTCGTCGAACGATGGATAGCAAACTTCGACTGCCTTTCAACCATCACTACAGACCGCGGACGTCATTTCGAATCTGAACTTTACTGTCGTCTGACCACACCTTTAGGAATCACTTGCTTCCGCATGACCGCCCACCACGCACAAGCAAACAGGTTAGTAGAACGCTTTCACCGACAACTAAAAGCTTCAATATTAGTTGCAAACGTTTCACAGTTGACCGACGCTCTTCCACTCGTCTTACTAGGTATTCACAATGCAGTGAAAGCTGACATTGGATACACTGCGGCTCAACTCGTTTATGGAACGACACTTCGACTTCCAGGAGAATTCGTGGATCCTTCATCCTCTTCAATCAACATGGATCAGACCTCCTACACGAACAGGCTTACAGACGCAATGCGTTCAGTTGAACCTGCTGCCACTCGACCACAATCAACCGATGTTTTTGTTCAACCTGACGTACAATAAAGTACACACGTTTTCGTTCGTCGAGACGCACATCGACGACAATTCGAATCAGCATACGAAGGACCTTTCAAAGTTTTTCAACGCGAATCTAAGTTCTTGCTCACTCTTTCAGCCTCCTTCTGATATGGAACGAAAGATCTCCTCGTGCATTATCCTCAAAGCCTTAGACATTTCAAAGGGACATAAGGTTGCGACATTCAGAAGCTCCAACCTTTAATCGACCTATCCTTGACCGTCAGTCGCACATTTCAAATGCAACTTTAATGAAGTGCGCCATCTGTGGTACTGATTAAAACCATCTAGATTCATATCTTATAAATTATCAACCCAGCTATTTAATTTACGCCAGTGTGTTTCGTATCATTTTATCAATTTGATCTTGCCTTTAAACTATCATGCCTCATGTAACAAACTGTTATTTGAGAATAAATTATTATTATTATTATTTTTATATAGTCAGTAAGAACGGAACATACGATAGCATCAGCATTGATCACTTAAAAGCAGCGTATTCGGAAGGAAATCCTATTCACGTCGATTTCCCTTCGGTACAGTCGCACAACACGACTCCTATACTCATAATTTCTCAACTGACAACCAACACTAGCGATGACACTCCGAATGTGTCTGAAAATAAACTTAAAACGATGCGTTCTGGAAGAAGAGTAAAATTTCCAGAACATTTAAGCGACTACTGCACGTAAAGCACTACTCGACATTTTATATTATCTCGAACTTTGTTTTTGCTAAATATAATATTTAAAAAAACCCAATTTAATATGCTTATATATTTTTATTCTTATTTCAAAAAAACGAACAAAAAACATAAAATTATTTTAACGCCATTACGTGTGCTTAAGTTTATTTTTCATTTTTTTCGCAGATATTGTGTTTTTACGCACATACGAGTGTATTTCGACATGCACTTACATTTTCTTTTTTTTTCGAGGAAGGCTGGAAAAGAACGTTGCAGTTTACGAGGAGTCGAAATTTTCATTATACCTTTTCTTTTTTTACTATGTTGTACCTCGGTCCCATATAGTAAGGAAAGACGACCAGACGCTGCTAAACCTAGCAAGCTATCAGAAGAGTGTTTACCGACGACAAAACTCGTAGGGTTTAAACTTCTGACTGGCCACGTCTTAGGGTCATCACTACCCCACTAGGGGGGTGATCTGTAGCGGTAAATAAACCCCAAGATAAATAGCTCTGTAAGTTTTCGACATTGGATGCTGACCAGATTAGTTTTAGTGGACTCACCAAGCTGTAGGCGCTCGATCATGCATCCGCACCCAGATCACGTGTGGTAACGCTGTGCACAACATCTACAGCAATCGCTAGCCAGATTCGATCAGAGAATTCCGATATATTGGTTATCGCCAAATACACTCTTCCGATCTCCTCGACTCTGTCTTTTGATTTCTCTCAGTGGGAACAAAATATATTAGAAGGTGTTGCTGGTAGAAGCGTTGTCAAACACTGAATACCTGTGTCATCTTCAGCCTGTTCAGGTACTCACTATGATCGCGACACATTTTGTTGCAGTCGAACTGAGAACTTCTCTTCAGTTTTCAAAGTAGGAGAAATGAAAGATCTAGTCTGCTGCAGAACTGTCAAATCACTCACAACACTGTCAATGTCAGTGGAAAGAGGATCATCGTCAAACGAAAGAAAACATTGACGAAACCAACCCTCTTCGGGAAGGCCAGAACGGGTTTAGAATGAAGTCATTGAATTTCCATCTTCCCATTGGGTGAGACAGCTGGACAGGCTTCTGAGAACAGAGGATGTTGTTGCACTTAGTATTCCAGCAATTCATGAAGGCGATTGACACAGCACTACACGTGCTCCTAAAGCGGTAGCAGATTTCACGGTCACACGCCTATTATGGATGCAAAACGGCCAACAGAATGGGACGTGTTCGTACCAAGTGAATTGAATACACGTTAGCCCGTTTGTCCCACCAATAGTTGTTCCACGGTGGACAGGATTAGTTCAGTTCCTCTTCTTGATCGCTAATTATAAGCCTCTAGCCAAAATAGGTTAGTTGCACCAATCTATTGAGACAACGCGAGGATCTGGAGGTCCGTATGAAGTGAAACGTGTTCACTGAAGCTTCGAAATTATAGCACGGCACTAAATATGTGGGCAGTGGACAATTTAATTTTGAAAACCATCATGCTACAAAGATTTGGAGCCACGACTAATAAACAACTGCTTGATAATTCACTTCTTCCTAACAAACTGAAATATAGGACAATTAATCCTAGCTGAACCAACATTGAAGATGCGATCAAGGCAACTGAAAAACACCACGTTATCCAGAACAAATCGTTGAATTCACATCAAGTTTGCTTAAAACACTTTTCACAACGTTATCATGGATGCAACCCAAAGTCTACAATGTTGTTACGTCTCATCTCTTTAAAAGAAATGAATACTGTTTGACCAAGTACAGAAACAAGAGACTAAATTGACGTTAAAGCTGTGAAACAAATCTTATGAAGACAGACACCGACACTGATGACTATTTCCTCTGGGATACAGAGACGAAGACTTATCTGAAAATGGGACACCTCAACACGAACATCCCACAGGGACATCGTGTTTATTCACCTGGAGAAAACTCTAGAAAACTTCTACGTCAAAACATTTAAACCCGTGTGCCCTCGCAATTTTTCACACACCTGGACTAGCTGTACTTGACGCATATTGCGTAGCTTAACTGCTATTATCATTACGGAATATCATTAACTTATTCTTATCTGTCTTATCATTATTCTCGTTCCATTTCTCAATCTTACACTTCAATCTTCTCACACTGCCTGCATTATTAATTAGTTCGCCATCAGTATAGCCGACTACTGAGAACAAATGAATTTAGTCATAGCTACAATACCAATATTTTCGGATATGTGTCTCAGTAATTTATTTCACCAGTAATAAACAGTTAAAGTGCAAGTAGTTTAAATGAACACACACAGACTGGAATAATTGTTTTACTGAATTTACACAAGAATTGGGCATTTTTGTGATTGAATTGTACACAAACTGATACTGGCACATAAGCGGTTGCACTTAAATAAAAATAACAAATGTAGTAAATTAATCAGCAGCTGCATAGTAATGAGATAAATCAAGGATTGAACATGAATGGTCTAATCTATATTGTTTTGATTGATCTAAACACAAATTGTTCTGAATATTGACTAAACAGAGTGTCATAAATGTTTATAAATCAATATAGTAGTGGAGTCTGGCTTGCATACAGATAGATGGACCTGGAACCAGAGAAAGGATTTTCGGGAAGATTCACATACAATGCATCTGAACAGACCACACACTTGAGTACATGTTGACCAACAGAACTGAATTGATGCGCTTGACAGTTATATGGTCAGTCAAGTACTGTATTCCAGAATGCGTATAAAATCATGCTTTACTTGACATATCTATAATAAGTGCTACACCTATTTATCTTCTTCTTCAGTTAATGTAACAATCGTCTTCTTTTAGCATTCCAATATTATTTTAATTATCTTATATATTGGGGAACAACCAACCAACCTATTATCCGGTTGTGTAATTGGTTCTTATTTCAAGAATCATAAAGCTCTGATAGGGACATATTGACTCAGATTAGAAAATATACCAACCCACGTATAACTGCTAAACTGAATCGAACCAGCACGGTCGGGTTGACAAACTATGGCCTATTTGAGATTATCACTGATCTCCAGTCATCCTGAAACAACATGAAGTGAAAGAATGGTATTAATCCGTTTGTGTAATCCCGTTCCAGAAGAATTAGAGATTGTAAGCGTTTTGAAATATAGCATTTTTTAAAAGGACTTCTAAGACTTTCAGACGCTAGTTTATTGCATTCGTATGAGAACACTGAAAAGAAGTGCCGATAAAAACACAAGCGACGAAACTTGTTATCTTCGAATACATAAATACAGGAGGCAATCGTCCATTACTATCTCGTGATTTCTGGATTGTCGGCCGTGAATCCAGCTATTCAAGGTTGTTGAAGAGGAAGAGGGAGGTTTGAGCCAAGTCATCAACACGGTAAAAAGGGCGACCTTTGGTTCGAAATTATTAACTGATTGGTTTGATCAATACATTTATTAAGTCATTGACAGCTAGTTGGAAGCTAATTACGTTGATAATTTACTTCATTCAAAATTACAGTCAACTGATCGAGTTTCTCCAGTCGTTGACGTAATACATATTTTATTTTTTCATGTAAATCCCTTTTTATTTGCCGAAAAATTGTGTAGTATCTTGATAAAACGTTTGAAAATGCTTATCACATTGTGTTTAAAAATACTGGGAGTTAGGCGTGTAATTATCGCAACATTTGCTTTGCAAAGTAGATCTGCATGTTCACAGAAGCAACGATGTCTCAAATATAGTAATGGGTGTGATTGTATTAGATGGGCAATGGGAATGCTTCTACTAAGTTTCCAGCTAGTCATCTGACTACTTCGTTGCAAAGTGCCTTCCTCGATTTACTTTTTTGGCTAGACTATGATTTATATAGACAAACCAGTGGGATTAAGGATAACAAGTCGAATTTTAACGCGAAATCCATTGACACATGTGGCAGGTTGAACCATCTGCTACTAGTTTCGATTCCAAGATTTAGCTTGAGGATTGTTATTTCTGATTATTGATGATTAGTTTTGTTATTAAATTTAAGTGCATTGTGTGCTCTTCTTGTGTCGTCGACTGACCTTTTGCTTTCCTTTTCCTAGCCTTCACGCACTCTTAGTGCTCCCTTAGTACGCAGAATACTTGGCCGGACGCTAACCGCTACAATATAGCTGTCAGTTCGTGATGAAATCCTTTGATTCTTAACCATAAATTTTAACTCGATCCCAAGTCCTCATATTAGATTGCAACCCCCTTTTGACCTTGATAAATAGGTGAGTCGTCTGAACGCCACTTTAGCATTGTTTAAAAGTCGGTTTAAAAAGTATCTCATCATAACAGAAGTGGTGCATTTGATGAGTAGGTGGTATTCAGAATGTTGCTACCTTCCTGTGAGTAAATGCTTGTCCTTATAATATCACACATTTTCTAAGTATTAAGCTCTTCACTACTCATGCTCTCAAAATTTATCAGAACAAAAGATTTGGGAAGGGTATGCAATTACATTTTTGCGGTTATGGGAGATGTATTTATTTGTGTTTCTGCTGTTCATGTGCTTGTTATATTACCTAAATCTCAATGGTTCTCACCTTTTACTTAGGAAGTGCACCTCATACGTAATAAAGACTACAATAAATATATTTTCTTGTGATATCTCAAAGAGTAGAAAATAACCGAGATAAAATTAACACAACTTGTGCTAAGTCACGAAACACCAAAAATACAATTTTCTATTCATAGGGATATCACAAAAAATATTTATCAATAACTTTCTACCCATTGCTTAACTTATTTTAAAGTGGCAAAGGTCATATTTCACAAAGAAGCATTAATTAACGGCTTGAGTCGACAAAAAACGTCAACCTGTTATGCCTTTTAAGACCACATAATACGCATGCCCAACTTGGTACTGGTTCTCATATTTCTACTGCCTTATTAAATATTTATTTGCCATATTGCCTGTCTCGTAACAATGGATACATAAATCCCGACCGTTGTTGCTACCTTGACGTGGTGGTCGGGCTTGCCTATCGTGATGAAACAACCGAGCTATACTGACTGGAACAACTGTTCCTCAAGGTCCTACCACGTCAGAAAGGTCGGTTGAAGAGCGGTAAGATTAAAAGCAACAAACCCAAGGTCTGAAGGCGAAGTCCTACTGCTGACTGTACAGAGGTGTGACAGCAGTAAGGTATTTCCTTCAGACAACCAGCATGACAGCGATGCTGCCTTCCCACAAGGAGGGGTGGGGTTAGAAAAGGTCGACCTAAAAATGTACACCTCGCCTTATCCCACGGATATCTGTCTCCGGCGGTAAGGTCTCAACAAGTACGGAGCTAACACAAAAATTGCCCATAGAAAGGTCGTGTGTGACCGACCTCAAGCAGTTGTCCCTTGGGCACTGCGGTCACGCTCCCAGGTCACTAAGACCACTTCTAATCCGATCTCCTTTTCAGGTACCTCCAGAAGAACCCTTCCACGGTGTGGGCAACCGGGAAGTGATAACCGCCCTCATACCTCAAACAGCACTCAAGACCACTGGGTACATAAATGTTCATGTATAGCTTTTTAAATCTAAGCACTGTGGAGTTTATCGAACGGTGAGTGTCATTCAAATCGGAACCACAATATAATGTGTAAACGCTTTTTGAAATTTTCTTTTCTAGTCATACTTGTTTACGAATTCCAAATTATTCGTGCCATATGCCTAATTTGCTGTATATGTTATAATATCGTTCTGTAGTTCCAGCGACTATCTCTAGTTGGTATGGCCGATTATTGGAAAAGTAACCCAAAGAAGTATTGCGAATTATGCAAATGTTGGATGGCTGACAACAAAATCGTAAGATATTAATTCCTTTCTCATTATTATCCCACGTATACTTTGAACAGAGCATTCAAAATCATGAGAATGGTATGCGACATAAAGCTAGTGTGGCTAAAAAAGTTAATGAATTGACCCGTAGCAATAAATGTGCTGAAATGGAAAGGAAGAATTTAGAGGCATGCTTACAACAAATAAACGATGTAAGTGTCTTGAATTCCAAGTTATCTTTTTAAATATCCAGAGTGCCCACTTAAGTATGATGAAAGATCTAGAAAGAGACCCATCATTGGCAAAACAGTATGGAATCGTACTAGCAAGTAACTGCTTGTTTTACGTTATATTTAAAATTCGAAGAGTCACCATGTGAAGGGAAATTGAACGAAGAGTCTTCTAGTAAAACAGGGAAACCAGTTGCTGATAAATCTCGTCCTGATCCATCCAGTCGTGCAAATATTTGGAAGGAATCAATTACCCCAGATGGCAAACATTATTATTGGAATGTGGCTACTCGTGTTACTCAGTGGACACGGCCAGATGGCATTATAGAGCCGGATCAACGACCAGTGAAAGAAGAAAAAACCAGACTAAAAGAATTCGTCTTAAATCGTCTTGTGGAGTTAAGCGAATATGGATCCAAGGGAGCCAATGAGGCAGTACTACAAGTGTTTAATGTACCTACATCAGATATCGAGCCTATCATAGAAAAAATATCGGATGGCACATCCGATAAGAAGCCGAAAAGTGTGACCCCCCCAACACCTGTTCAATTTCAAGGTCCACAAATTGACTTACTTGGTCCGTGGGTTCCTTGTGATGATACGTAAGTAGCATACAAACGTCTTTCAATTATTGAACCAGAAAAAAAGTTTTTATTTTTATTTCTGTTGAAATATAACTTAGATTTTACGGGATACACTAGAACCTGTTTACCTACTAAAAAAGCTGCAATTATTTGAACGATAGAGATTCTAATGAGTTACCTAAAACGAAGTCGTCTTAGCAAAATCCAAACTTCTCGACCAGTAGTTTAAGGTTGAGGGCGTTAACCAATAAACATTATTTTGTCTTACATTATTGGATATGGTTAAGGAAAATAGGAGGGATCCAAATGACAAAAGCATCCAGTCTTAGATATTTTATAAGTACTCAAGTAAGAAATGCTTGAGTAATTTGTTGATTTTCAATTAATAATGGCAAGCGATTTGATAAGAATGTAAATACTCACATAGTGTAAGTATCGAACTACCACTTGTAAGACATTTTTAATTGAAGTAATTGATTAAAATACGTCAAACTGGACCGGAGTCTAGAATAGCAAGCTTTGAAATAGATTATTGCTGGTTACAATGGTGTGGAAGAGTAAATACTAGTTTAATGCGCTATTATGTAAAATGAGCTAAAAATCGGTGAAATGGCTCAATGGTATAAGCATTTAGACTCTTTTCGTAAGTTTTTGGTATTTACCTATTTTTCTATTGAAATGAAGCGAGAAAGATTAGATGTACTGGATAAAATGAATTAATTACATCTGGAGGCTCTTCATCTGCTGCAAACGGCATTATGCATTATGTTTATAATGACGTAAATAATACTACAAGCCTTAATTGTCTCAGTACAATGATCCTTATTATTTTACTTAATGTCTCCATATCTCGTTTCTTTTCTTTTGATAAAGTCCTAGGCCCAAATTACCCAAGCTTGATCTCCCTAATGCCTCGAATGATATTGGAAGCTTCGGATCTCCAAATTTAGATGGAAAACTGGCTGTACTTGCTCAGTTGGAAGCAACAACGGAAAAGTATTACGAAAATCCAACTCTTTTCAGTCCTAAAGACCAAGTAACTACTCATAGTAGTTACGCAGCTGAAACCACTAAGCAAACCAAAAGTGAGGATACTAATGTACGACAATCTAATTCTAACACAACAGCTCGTATTGTGTTCAAACGACGTCCTACGTCTAACCGAAGTATACGTACCCCGCAAGATGACGAGTAAAAGTTCCTACTGCAGTTGTGTACATATAATATTTTTATGGATAATATAGTCATTTTTCAGCGAAAAAAGATGAATTGTATGTTCTTTTATTGCAACAAAAATGGGTATCCTTTTAGGATGATAGTGTTAATCAGTATTTTACCCTAAGTTTAATTTAGACAAAAAGTAAAACCAAAATACCAAAGGAAAGTCCCAGCGATATCGATTCGATCAAGAACATTACTAATGAGAAACGTCTTAACATCTGTTGTATCTGGATTTTCTCCAGTCACTCTTGTATTTATCCATTTAAAAAGTCTTCTGGATCACCTGAATGGGGATTTCAGCTTCTTGCATATTTTTATGTTAAATCGTTTATTTGAATAGTGCGCTTTAACGGTGAACTAGGGTGGGGGGAGATCCAGCGATGATAGTTTATGCAATAAGTAATTTTCTTTCATAAGTTAATTTCCTAACACATGATAAGTATCTGTAGTTCAGTACGTTGATATTTAAACTTTAATGCCTGAATGTTCATAGTTGATGTAGTCCACCCTGCTACACGCATGAGTAAACTCACTACAGCGTATTAGGGAGATTGGTAAATTTGTATCAATTGCAGGCAGTCGTTTTATAGTAGCAGGCTATATAAGTGTCAGTTTAAACTTATGTGAATAATTAATCCCAGATTTATCACTGCTTATCGCTATAATTAGCTGATTTCGAAAGTTAAATATAAACAAGTGGTTTTTGTACTCAAACTGTATCATATTTTTAATTAGAACGGCCTTATTATTATCTCCAGCTCTAACAGAATAGATGTAGCTGAAAATTTTGTATCGAAACATGGAATTAATTACGATGTTTGAGGTGAGTGATTTATGGTATGTAGTCTTTGTACTTGACCTTCTATAAACAATGGTCGAACAAACAAAAATTAATTATAAATAAACAATATAATTTAATGAGGTCTTCGCCTCTAAATACCTTGGTACGGCCGAGAGTGGGGAGAGTCCGCTTTCCCTCTCGAAATGCTCTCACATGGCCACGCGTATATAGCCTCTGCCAGGGAAGCCCTACTCAATGCATTCTCGTGTCGGGGGTGTTGTTTACGAAATTAAGAGGACGAAAAGGTCAGATTTACAACGCATCGGTGAGAGCAGTTTTGCTCTATGTTTGTGAAACCTGACCTCCGAGTTGAGGATGTTAGTCGACTCTCTGTGTTTGATCATCGTTATCTCTGAAGGATTGCTAACATCCAGTGGCGACACCATGTCAGTAATGCAGAGGTTCGGCATCGTGTGTTCGGGCGCAGAGACGATAATTCAATTGGTGTCACTATCTTGAAACAGCTTCGGTGGCTTGGACATGTTCTACGAATGTCGTCCCAGAGGATTCCTCGTCGTGCAGAGAGGTGATCAGTGTATGACATGGTGTCGTGGTATGAAAGAAAGCTGCACAGGACTGGCTTTCGTTGCTCCTTCACGACTCCCTGGTTAAAGTCCTAGAAATAGTGCAACGCAGTGGCTTGAGACGTTATCAGATATAGCTCAGAATAGAAGCCAGTGGCGATCCTGCTGTAATCTCCTTTTACTTTCTCCAGAAAAGGTGACCGTACCTTCGTTAACTGAGAGGATTCTTTGTGATTGTACCTTTCTGTTCCCCCCCATTATTATTACTATTTCACTACCATACACTAATTTTTCCTTTTTACATGCATCTTACATTCTTCTTCTCTTCCCATTCTCATTGTTACTGTGTGGCGCATCTGTATTTGGTGCCCCTTTGTACCAATATTTATGTATTCAAACAAATAATAGGGTTTTCGGGGAGGTAATGAGAAGGGTTTTAAAACCTCAACTTTTGTTTATTCAATATATATAATAGACAGAAATGCAATATTTTATGTGAAATTTTGTTTATTATCAAGTAATAATTAAAGAATATGAAACAAAAGAATTTCACATTAGATCTCAATTGTTATTATTGTTTCAATGAATTTTAGATAGGTAAGTCTAATTTGGTTGTATCCATCTAGTTTAGATGTATCATTAAGTGTATTCATGAAATTGATATATAAAACCTCATATAAGTTATATACTTTCAAGATCATGTTGAATTGATATGAAATCTGGAAAGCTAAAAAAATTGTAAATGTAGAGAGAATCAAAAACAACAAACAAGTGATTATCAGGTTGTTGAGTTTTAGTTGAGATCATGGACTGATCACTGTTGGACTACTATTTAACACTATGGAAGCACTCGATAGACGTTTTGCGTGGGATCGTGAATGTGCAACGCTGAGGAGTCTCATACTAAGACGAAATGGTCGTCTAGTGCTTCCAGGATATAATGATGGTCGAAGATTGACCAGTTCACGATTTCATTTAGAACGAGAGATTACAAAAAATCCCAGTAAGTAACGTTTAATTGTTGGTGATTAATAGATTATAACTTGCAATGTGGCCACTAGTCTAGGTGACTCGACATTGCGTGCACTATATTGAGATAAAATCGTGGTTGGAGGTAGTCAGCAGGAAACCCTGGATCTAGGTTTCATTCCATTTGGCACTCGTCAGTAAGGTGTACTTGTAATTTTGAGGGAAGTGGTGCTCCCTGACGGGTTCGATTCCATATCACCCAACTTCACAATCAGAGACGTTACCACTGATGTATGTGGGTCGTGATACACCTCATGTAGGACTGAGTTGTATTGTATTCAAAGTGATAATAATAATTGATATTAGCACGTAAGTATCATTACCAAGTTTCAAAATTAATTGAGAATTCGGTAGATAAGATTAACGATATATAATGTTTCTAGTTTTCTAATACCAATATTATCAAAATACCTGGAAATCACCATATCAAGTGAAAAAATAACATTAAAGAAATGATCACATAAACTGTATGGGCCAGAGTAGTTGTTTGTTTATAAGAAATACAGTGGAAGATTTCAAATGTTGATGATGAGTGGAAATAAGTCGATCTGTTATGTACTCTTGAATTCTCATTACTTTAACAATATGACACTATATCCACCAACCCCATTAAAGCGTCGGGTATTCGCTTTTCGTCCTCTCAATTTCGTAAACAACACCCCCGCCGCGAAAAGGCGGTGGGTAGGAATTCCCTGGCAGTGGTTGTAAGAGCATTTCGAGAGGGACAATCGACTCTCTCCACTCTCGGCCTAACAGGGCATTTGGGGGTGGATATAGAGGATTCACCTCGGGGAGTTGGAAGACCCTCATCCTAAACCAATGGTGCATATGAACTTCAGGATCCTGAGGGAACAATCGTTGGTCACCGGCTACCATGAGACTGAATCTTCTGACATCGCTCCACTGCCTCGTGGATTAGACCTTTAGTTCGAAGGCTCAGGATGTAGCCACTTAAGAAAACCACTTGCTTCAGTTTGGGCATCCGGTGAGTATCCTAGACCCACATAAATCGAATGATTTATGTGGCGCGTATGTATTTGGTGTCTTCTTGTACCAATATCTATGTGTTTAAATAAATAAACAATATGACAAATCTAAACAAACATTATTATGTAATTGAAGTACCTGAGATATTGTGAAATGAACAATATTCTCATTTCTATTGAAAATCATTACTTTTAATAATAAATTTTTGATTATCGGAATTAAGAATAATTCGTTCATATTCTTGATGACGTCTATATAAATCTTTATATGCCATACATACTCGTTCATATTCGGCAATTGATACATTTTCTCTATAATGAAAATAAAATGAACAATTGTTATTTACTATTTGATAAAAGAAAGGGAATGGTTTGCGGAGATTTAAGTAATTTCATGGTTGTATTCATTAGTCAATTAAAGCTAGACTACCAGGTCTGTTGGGAGATAGTAACTCACTGAAGGTAATGATGAATGGTGGTGTAATTCCATGGATTGGTTGAAGTTAAACATTAAAACTATTGAATGCCAGATCAGTGGTCTAGAGTTTAGGCGTTCACACACGAGAGCAATAGGTCCTGGGTTTGAATCCCATAAGTGGGATCGTCTCATACTAGGACGAAACGGTCGTCCAATACTTCCAGATTTTCCTTGGTAGTCTAGCTTTAATTGACCCATGAATTCAACTATTAAATGAAACTAATATTAGTATGTTATTCATGAGTTGTTTATTTCTCAAAGTTTTTGTGTCAAGTAATAATCTATTAACGATGAATGATCATTTACGACGCTGCGCAGTTATTGTGCTGATAGGCAAACTGCAGTAGAGACCCCAATTTTTGATGTTTAATCGTTATTGTATTGTAATTAATCTTGGATAATTCACCAGTATATCATTAAACAAAATGAAGTAATTTCCAAAGAAAAAACACGTCGAAGAGTCAGATGATGATGGACCAAACAATTGTCATCCTTATTATGGGATTCAGACGCACTCTGTCATAGTACAGTGATAATCATCTGATTCTAACTTTGAATACTATAATGACTATAATCAAGTGTGAATTACATTGTCTAAAATCTAATAATACCATCTACTCACAGGCTATTGACTGAAATCTGATCCAAAAAAAGAAGCTTCTGTTTCTGTGCTTAGTACCATATTTTTATACAGGTTAGGCTACTATTAAGTCTTTAGATATTTGAAGGGAGGATCATATTAACAGTATAAGTACGCAATAATCAGACAAGTTTTATGTGCAGATTTGTAACCAAGATATTAGTATTATGAGTATCTAGCTACAGAAGTCTATTTAATTAGAGTTTTTAACATATTGCTTTGAGTAGTCTTAGAAGACCAGTAATATTGCTCACTAAGCTAAAATAATTAACAATAGATGCATACGAATGAGAAGATAAATGTGATTAGTAAAGGTGAATAATAAGGATCGGAAACATCTTTTACATTTTGTAGTGAACTTTGGATGATCAAAATGGAAGCTATATGTGTATATTTATTTAAACACATAAATATTGGTACAAGGAGGCACCAAATACATATGCGCTACACAGATTTCATTTGATACGTGTGAGAGCTGTGATACTGCTCGGGTGCCTAAACCGAAGCAGGTGGTTTTCTTAGGAGGCCACACTCAGAGACTTCGACTTAAAGGTCTGACCCACAAGGCAGTGGAGCAACGTCGGCAGATCCAGTCTCATGGTAGCAGATGACCAATAGTTGGTTCGTACGCTATTTTTTACTTCAAGATACTGGAGCTCATGTGCGCGATTGGTTTAAAATCAGGGTCGTCCAACTCCAATAGGTGGATTCTCCATGTCCACCAACCCGGTTAAAGCGCCGGATATTCGCTTTTCGTCCTCTCATTTTCGTAAACAACACCCCGGCTACGAGGAGGCAGTGAGTAGGACTTCCCTGGCAGAGGTTATATACGCGTGGCCATGTGAGAGCGTTTCGAGAGGGAGAGCGGACTCTCCCCAATCTCGGCCGTACTAGGGCACTTGAGGGGCAGATATTAATTTCGTAGACCAATCTTATCATTGCCAAGTGGCCATAAAAATATCAACTGATAATTAATGTTATGAACTTGAGTGCTAGTGGAGCCATGTATAATGAAAGCCAGAACGGTTTATGCCAATCTGGGCCATCTTTGGCTCCTTCTTGATATTCGTCTGGCTGTATAGGGATAGATCTACAACGCGTCGGCAAGAGCTTCTGTTGACCCTTCACGACTTCCTGGTTAGAGTCCTAGAGATGGTGCAACACAGTGGCTAGAGACGTTATCAGACATGGCTCAGAATAGAAGCCACTGGCGATCCTGTTGTAATTTTCTTTGACTTTCTTCATAAAAAAATAAACGTCACTTCTGTAAATGAAACAATTCTTTGTGGTTGTAAATTTGCTAACTGAATTGCCTCTCTCACTATTATTATTTCATTTTCATACACTAATTTCATTTCGTTATTGTTCTCCTTTTCCTTATACGCACTTTACATTAGCTATCTCTTCATATGATCCTTGTTATTATGTGGTGTATATGTATTTGTTGCTCCTTTGTACCACTATTTATGTGTCTTAATAAATATATGGTGAAGAAGATTTGTAGCTCAGGTGGATGGTTTCGGTAGAGTTTTGTTCTCTCAGCTAGATAGTTTGGTCGTGGAGAATTTTTAGAAGCATGTCACACAGGCCAAATGAAGTTCGCGCCAAAATCTGAGGCCTGTTATCTTATACCTGATTGGTTCATCCATAAATTATAGTATCACTAATATATCTATTCACTTAAAAAATGAACTACTCATTATCCAAGTTCCTTTAAAAATCACCGAATCATACGTTGATGACAATGTTATAATTATATAATATACTGTAGTGGATCAGGGTTATTTTACATTGGTTTTTAGGGTAAGCGGACACCAGACTTTCACATGACAACCCAAACATTACAGCTCAACCCTGTTTTGCAGGAGAGCCAGACACTACCCAGGCTTAAATTTTATAATCCGAGCAGTATAGCTCAACAGCGTTTCACAGAAGGACTAGACATCATATAAGCCTTGATACTACAATCTGAATAGTAGAGCTCAATCTTGTGACACAACTACACAGGTACCAAGCACATCGGTGGATCATGATGATAATGTAATATTACAATACAAATGAATGTTCATCCCATTGAATAATCACTATTCTAGTAGAAAACGTAAATTTAAACAATTTTAAATATAAAACAATCTTACTTTAAATTATTATTCTCTTTACGTAATTTCTCTACTTCATATTCAAAGAAGTTGAGTTTTCGTTTCAATAATACTATTCGTAAACATAATGCTCGTTTTTTCTAAAGAGAGATAGATAAACCAAATAAAGATTTACTATATATCTTTAAATCATATTTGTAATAAGCAAAGATGGATGGTGGCGAACAGTGGAATTCAGGACGTGCGTTTCGTCCTATTTGAGACTCGTCAGATGGATATACCTGCATGCCACAGTTGATGTTCACTCTAGGAGCCAAATTCAGTACAGTTAGTTCCAAACGCCATCGCGTTGTCAAGGTCAGTTTAGCAGCATCACTCAAAGGTTGTCCATAAATTATGGTCTCATCGAAAATATATCTTAGTTGAATCGAACAAATTGTATCATTTACATTGAAGATTATAATTAAACCCCATACACTCATAACTGTAATATTGTGGTTTGAGCTACTTATATTGATATAAGTAGTATATAACGTGCGTTAAAAGAATGTAATGTCCGGCAGCAGAAGATGGCGAAGATCAAGAAAGGTAGAGCGAGAACACAATGAAATTTGTAAGAAAACGCATGTACAATGAAATGGGAGACAATGGATTAGTGTTTGCAACGGAAACAGTTCAGTTTGATATAATGCATTGATATTTTGCAAATTGACGATTGACTTTATGGTATTCAGATTTTGTTGAGATAGTCTGTAATTTTTGTGCTAAATGCATTCGATTGTCCCCAATCGTGTTCTCGTTCACTGCAATATTATCATATAGGTTACTAATTAGGTCGTCTGTTCCGTGACACAAAAATCTCAACGATTAGCCTTGTTTGAACCGACTATATTATTATTGACAAGTTTATCTAACAGCAAAAATGTTTTCTCTTGTTTCATTTATCTTTTACTGTTGTCAATTGATCTAGAGTTTGGATAAGAGTCAAATGATATCTGGAAAACAAAACAATCTGATAACACCTTTTTTTGAATGAGTTAATCATGACATCTTCAAGTATATGTTGAAATGGGATGTGATAGTATGGTATGTGCTGCTAATGTTGGCAGATATAAGTCGTATGTATCACCAGTAGAAAGTGAAATGCCTGACGACAGAAGGTTAAGGAGGTCGAAAGAAGAGAACAAGAACAGAAAATGATTGCTGTGAAAACGAAGGAACCATGATGTCTGAGATGATTGATTAACATTTTGCAAATAAAGTATCTGCTGTATGGTTCTCAAATTTTACTAAGATGTTCTGTAATTTTGTATTCATATACATTCCATTGTCCCCACTTGTGTTCTCGTCCACTACATTAGCTGTAGCAGCAGATCAAGAGGGGGGGAGATTGCTAGTCTGCGCACGCCATTGCAGACCTGGAGCTAAGGTGCTAGCTGTAGTGATATGCTGCGGGGAAGTGGAGTCGAGTGAAGTGTTATGACGGGGAGGCGTTGGCTGTAACGGATGCTGTCGACAGAGAGGAGAGGTGGGATGTCTGGCTGCTGGGCGGACATCGCATGTAGATGGCTTCTCAGATAACTGAGCGCAGATGTTCGTGGCCCGGTGGGTCAGCGGAGCTATGGAGGTCAACACGTCACAGACTCAGCATTTTGACGGAGAGCATGGCAAAGAATTTCGAAAAGTAGAACAACGAGCAGAACCACTGCAAAGACGATTGCTTTAAAGGAGGGGGGAAGAGTATGGTATGTGCTACTGATGTTGATAGATATTAGTAGTATGTAGCATCAATCGAAAGTGAACTGCCTAGCTATTACTCAATAACAAACTTAATATCAGGATAGGTAACATATAACAAAGTTATCATCCCCTTATAATGGAATAATCATGAAGATTGATGACATACACACATTTGTAAAACAAATACCATAGTAACCAATGTTTACGAATATTGGATTTATCTTTCTCTCGTTTCTTACCTTACGTGAATCTTCTATAAATTGTTGCATTTTATTTCTTATAGCATTACTTATATCTAAATGCTTTAAAATTCTCTGATTATTATGATCAGTTAATAGAAGAGATTTTTGTTTCGATTCTGTAGTATTTATCTTCTCTATAAGAGAATTTGCATAAATCTATAGAATTCAAAGAGAAAAAAAGAAAGAAAAGAACTTTCCATTATGATCTAATCATTGAATAAGAAGATCTCAATGAAGAAAAACGAAGAAAAAGCCCGTAGAAATAAACTATTTAAATAAAACACTGTTTTTTTTAATAACCGGAGGGGGGATTTTATGGATATTACAGGGATTTCAACAGTTGAATCCATAAATCAATTGAAGCTAGATAACCATGGAAAACGTGGAAGCACTGGACGGCCGTTTCATCCTACTGCGGGACTTTTCAGCAGTGCGTATCTAAGATCCCACTTCGCGAGATTTGAGCCTAGGACCTATCAATCTTACGTGCAAGTGCTTAATCACTAAACCACTGAGATGTCCGGCATCCAACGTTGACTCATGAATTCAACTATTAAATTATTATAATATCCACAAAACTCTCTTCTCTGATTATAATCATCATATGCTCACTAGTGACGGTCTTCAAGAGGTACTTCCTAGAGTTCTAGCGAGAAGCAGTGACCAGTGGAGTTCAACCGTGTCTGTTGTGAAATAGTAGCAAGCTGATGACAATGGTGGATGGTGGCGCAACTTCGTGGATTAGTTGAAGTTAGACATGAACACCGTTGGATGCCAGCCATCTCAGTGGTCTACAGGATAAGCACTCGTGAGCAAGATTGATGGGACCTCGGTTTGAATCTCGCAAGGTGGGATCTTGGATATGTACTGCTGAGGATCTTCACAGTAGGACGAAACGGCCGTTCAGTGCTTCCAGGTTTTCCATGGTTGTCTAGCTTTAATTAAATTATGAATTCAACTATTAAAACACTATTTATAAGCAAAGATGGATAGTGGCAAGCAGTAAAATCCAGGACGTACATCTCTTCCTATTTAAGACTCGTCAAATAAATGTACCTGCATCACAGAATTGATATTCACTCTAGGACTCGAACCCAGAACCGTTCACTTAACTAGTGAGTCCTGTTAGACACTTGCTTGTGCAATGGGATAAAGTTGAAATCTACTTAATATTGCTTACTTGAATCTTTCCATTATTTTCAATAACTGTATAAAGATCCAATGATTAAGCTACAAGACACACCTATTATATAAATCAATAATACGAATTCATTATTCAAATCTTGATTTATGTATAGAATGATAATTAACTATTCAGTTTAGTACAAATTAATCACCATAGATAGTAAGGTAAAAAAAACAAACAAAATGCATTTGTAACCTGTTAATGATTGAAAATAATAGACAAAACATTTCTAAACCAAATATATGTTTTGGTGGAGTTTTGTTCTCTGAGCTGGATGGTTTGGTCGTGGAGCTTTCATCGTTCTTCTGAACAACATCATCATCATCTATCTGAAGTTTGTGCTGATGATGTCGTTCAGAAGAACGATGAAAGCTCCACGACCAAACCATCCAGCTCAGAGAACAAAACTCTACCAAAATCATCCACCTGAGCTACAAATCTTCTCCACCATCTCCAAATTTATGTACATATCAACAATAAGTAGTTAGATGGGGTTGAATAACATCTATCACCATGATACTTAGTGGAACAAATTGAATTCAATAGAATTGAGGACGTGAGGGTGGCCAACGAGTAAACTTGAGGAAGCTCTAAGAAGCTTAGAAAAAGTTGAAGATATTCCATCCAATCATTTTTTGGGAGAACATTCTACAATCTCGATGTGTAGCTTCCCTATTGGACATAGGCTAAAAATCTACTGTATGTGGATTGGATGATTATAATGATGATTTCGTTTTTACTTGAATACTATAAATACCTGAGAGTTTTGTACTATATTGGACAGTGTTTGGAATAGTATTCCTTCTTACTCGTCTTCTATCTACTCATTCGCGATTTGGAGGATTTTAGCGTTCAAGTACGCGGTCTAGTAAAAATGTAACCTCTATATGTAACAGAGAGGATAGACACTTTCCTTACTAATCAATGCAAACATCTATAAAAATAAGGCTCACTTGACTGACCAAATCCAACCACTCAATTTAAAAAGAAAGTACAATACTCTGATAAATCAACTTTGCTTATCAGTTTGATGATCACTATACAAATTTATCGATAGAATTCCAAGATAACAGAAAATTAATAGAAAACCCAACATTCATTACTTTTCAATGATCAATTGGTTTCAAATGTGATCTAAGTAGATCAACAGTTGGGTATATGACTATGAATCTACATAACGTCTAAATGTATATACTCTGAAGCATCAATGAACGAGTAGTCATCCATTTTATATAGGTGCTAATAAATTTACTAGTGAAGGAACGATGAATTTGTCTAACCCCAAATGTGTTTCTCAGATACATACATTCCAGTAACATATACATTGACATACATGGGCGCAGTTGTTGATACATGAAGTCATAGAAAGTATAGAGAAGTCTGTAGTGACTCACATTTATCACGAGAACACGATTGGTTTATTTGGCCAAATGAATACCGTTCTTCGAAAATGACCTTCGTGGGCAACTCGACGATCAACGACCGCTTTCCTGTTCGCCAATTCTTCCGTCCCACGATCGCTCGTCAGCCGATCAGTCCCACAATTTAAACCGCTATTTATTGAAAGTGTAAACACTTTCTAGCGGGGGGCTCCTGCAGTGACTCACTTTTATCACGAGAACGCGACTGGTTTAATAAAAACAATTATTATTATAACCAACTGTACCAGTGCTTGTTTTAATGTGCTTTTGTTTGACTGTGCTAATGACAGCTATATTGGGCTTCCATTCTTGTCCACACACTTCGATTGTAACTTCGCGCGAATTCGGTTACGTTCTGTAACCAAGCTTGTATCCTGGCACGATCACGGTATCCTTTCGATGCCACGAGATCGCCAGTAAATAAACCTCGACTTGGTCCATTAATTGCCTTCTGATATTTGACTTCTCGGGGGATTTTATGGAGTCATTTGGAACGAGCTTCTTGGTAGCGGTGTTCATAGTCAATCTCGACTCGACGCCACGCTACAAGTCCATACCTCCCATAATTACATATAGGCATATAAGTTTCAGCTCGCAATTGTGCGATATACACACAAGTATAAAGTGAATAAGCTAGGCCTATACACTCCATACTATACATATAAGCATAGATGCGACAACTTAAGGCACCCAAACTCAGCAGATTTTTCACTGAATGAATATCGAGTATTCAAATCAGCATGTAAGTCGCCTATATAGGACAATTTTCTCGCTTTGCGCTCTTACCACAACCCGGTTCAGTGTCAACTTATATAGGCATATTGAATAAGAGTACAAATGTTTACGAAATTTTGATTAAACAACTATTAAGACATAAGGGTTTGTTATTTTCTATAAAAGACAAACTTGAGAATGCGCACTACTGAGGAGTTGTGCAATAGGACGAAACGGCAGTCCAGTGCTTCCAGGTTTTCCATGATGATGTAGCTTCAATTGACTCATGATCTTAACTATTGAAATTACTACAATTTCCACAAAACCCTTTCTGATACTAATCTTAAAACGTTAAAAGTACAACTATTAAGTACTTGATTTTATAGAGGTAAACGAGTTGCTTGATTGTTACAGACCAATTTTATAAAAATCTTTGCATAGAGTTGCAGGTTTACTTTTAGTTCATTTAAAATAGTCTGTTGTAAAAGTAAGTTGATAAAATAAACTTTATATATTAGGTCACTATATGTATATCATTGAAGCGATTAAAGACCTTCACATCCAAGGAGAAGCGCGGAATAAAATAGAAAGCTTTTGTGAAACTAAACGATTTGGACTTCGCTGATGACCTGGTCCTTCTATCACATACATACGAACATGTGCAACTCAAAACAATTAATGTAGCAGAAGCCTCCGCATCAGCAGGCCTCAACATACACAAGGAAGATACCAAGATCTTCAAATACAATACGGAAAATACCAACGCAATCACACTTGATAGAGAAAATCTGAAACAGGTGGAAACAATCACATCATGGATGAACTTTGAAGATCTGATGCAGACGTAAAGGTGAGGATTGGCAAAGCAATGACAACATATCTACAATTGAAGAACAACCAATATCAAAGTCAGAATCTTCAACACGAATGTCGACACAGTTAGTTCCACTATACGAAGCTGAAATGTGCAGAACTACTACAACCATCATCAAGCGAATACAAGTATTTATGAACAGACATATACACAAGATACTCAATATCCGTTGGCCGGTTACCATCAGCAACAACCTACTATGGAAGAGAACAAACCAACTTAAGAAAAATGAATGTAATTTAGTAGTTGAATTCATGAATCGATCTAAGCTATACCACCATTGAAAACCTGCAATAATTGAAAGGCCGTTTTCATCCTAGTATGGGACTCCTCAGCAGTGAACATTCACTATCCCACACCAAAGGGATTCGAACCCAGGACCTTCAGCCTCGCCAGTGAACGCTCAAACTCTAGACTACAGAGACGACATTCAACGGTGTTAATGACTAACTCCAACTAATTCACAAAATTGTACCACCGTCCACAATTGTCTTCAATGAATTACTATCCCACAACAGATCTGGTTAATCTCTACTGGTCACAGCTTCTCATTAGATCTTCAAAAAATACCACTTAAAGTCAGTTAATAAAACCTTCACAAATCCCCTCCCCTATTCTGATAAAAGTAAATATACAAATCCATATTAATGATCATACCTTAAATGTTTGCATTTGATTTACTTCTAAATTTAAACGTTCCGTAATACTTGTTACTTTATTTTCAAATTCATTTATATGTACCATAAAATGATTACGAAATAGTTTGATTATTTGTTGTATCTTTTCATCATCTTCATCGTCAGCAGCAGCAGTATCTTCTTTCTTTGAAGTTCTAGTACTAGTAGTATTAGTCGTCATATTGTAATTAGTTGTCAAAGCTTCAAATTGGTTAGAATTTGTTAAACGTGAGGATAATAAACTTAATTCATGATTTAATGCTGTAAAATAATATAAAAATGTAAATTGAATTTGTTTTAATGATTGTTTTGTTTTTCTAAGTAGTTAGTTCATTCAAAATTCAATTAATTGAGTGTTAAACGAGGACTGTAGATGTTTGGTGCCCGCCAAAAAAACGAAGTACAGAAAAATACATTGATGTTGTGACTATAATTTATGGACGACCTTCGAGCGACGCTAAAGTGACCTTGAGAGTAAACACCCATTGAATAGGACTAAATGAGGGTTATAAAGCAGTCAGAATTCTCATTTACAGTTGATGGTTAGAGTTAGAAATTACATCTAGGGTTTTCATCACGAACTGACATCAACTATAATGCTGAAACTCTATTTAGCCAGATGGATGAATGAATTTCGCGCCAACATCCGAGACCTGTTATCTTATACCTAATTGGTTCGTCCATAAATTATAACATTGCCGAATGAATTTCTTCTTTGGCCTGTGTAATTAAGTTATATTGAATGTAATCCGATTAATCATTACTTACTTAAGCCTATTACCCCCCAATCAAGCATAAGCCACAGACCAGCATTTTCCAACCCACTTTATCCTGGGCCCTCTCTTCTAATTCTATCCAAATTATTGTTCATTCTTCTCATGTATTTCTCCATTTCTCAGAGTACTGTGTTCTTTGGTCTTACTTTTCTCTTCTAGACTTGAGGATTCTAAATGAGGGCCCGCCTTGGGATACAGTTCGTTCCATTCCTCAATTAATAATGTTCGAGTTTTATACATATATCTTTTTTTATCTAAGACCTTACGTGTAACTCATCTGTTTGATTTCAGTCCTTGAAACAACAACCTTTCGTAAACATCCCAATTAGTATGTTACACATATTAACAACTGAAAACAACAATGAACAATTTAGTAGTCAAGTCTAAATGATTTCAAGACTGATTTAATTTGTAGAGCATGAAATAATCTTGACAGTCAAGTCCTAATCTTCTAATCGCCTAAGTTTCCAATGATTTCTACTTGTGCTTATTTGTCATTCGATTTTTATGTAGGCTGTGATACTACTCGGTTGCCGAAACCGAAGCAGATGGTTCTCTTAAGGAGCCATGCCCGGAGCCTTCAACCTGAAGGTCTAATCCACAAGGCAGTGGGGCAACGTCAGGAGATACAGTCTCACGTTAGACGGTGACCAATCATTAGTTCATACGCCATTTGTTCCCTCAGGATCCTGGAGCCCATGCGCACCATTAGTTTGGAATAAGGGTTTCCCAACTCTCCTAGGTGGACGCTCAATGTTCACCAGCACAATTATAAAGACGGACATTCGGTTTTCGTCCCCTCAATTTCGTAAACAACAGCAATGAGGAGAAATGGCAAAGAGTCGGACTTCCATGACAGTGATTCTACGCACGTGATCATGTGAAAGCATTTAGAGAAGGATAGATGACTCACCCCACTCTCAGCCGTACCAGGGCATTAGAGGGCAAAGTGGTTTCTGTCAGCCAGGCATATCAATAATTCTTTCTTGTTAACAGTTATCAATCGGTTATATAGTATCTTCGCAATCTTATCTAATCGACAACAATCCTTTAGATCTTATTCATAATACATATTACGTAATGATAAATAGAGGAATAATAAAGGGTAAAAAATACCTTTAGACTTTTTCATTAATTCATTACGTTGATTCTCTATTTCAAATCTTTGAGCTTGTGCTTCATTACGTATATCAAATAATTCCGTACGTATAGAGTTTATTAATTGTTCAATTTGTAATTCAGTGTTAACTTGATGTTTTGTTGATTCTATAGATGTTTGTTGTTGATTCATTAATTCTTTACGTAAATTATTTACCTCTTCAGTTAATATACCTAACTGTAATGGTGAAATAAAAAAAACCCACCAACACTTAGTAGTTGAGTTCATGAATCAATTGAAGGTAGATCAACATGGAAAATATGGAAGCAGTGGGCAACCGTCTCATTCTAGTATGGAACTCCTTAGCAGTAGGTATCTACGATATCGTCTCGTGAGATTCGAACCGAGGACTTACGTTATCGTGCGCGAACGTTTAACATCTAGACCACTAAGCCGGTATTCAATGATGTTAATGTCTAACTTCAACTAATACACCAAATGGCGCCACCGTCCACCATTCTCATCAGTGAGTTACAATCTCACAACTGACACGGTTGAACTCCACTGGTCATTGCTTCTCACTAGGACTTCAGGATATACCTCTTGAAGTCAGTCTCTAGTGAGCATATGTTGATTCATATCCGAAAGGGGTTTTTGTGCATACTATAGTAATTTCAATAGTTATCTGACTTGTAAATTATTTTCATCCTTCTATTACAATTGATTGATCACTGGATGGTGATCAATATCATGTGTGTCAAGCCCTTATTTAGTGCAGATCGAATGCTATCAACCATGTTGCAATATGCCCACTAGTTTAGTTGACTCGACATTGCGGGAACTAAATATTGAGATTAGATGGTGGTTGGAGGTAGTCGACAGGAAACCTTGGACCCGGGTTTCGTGTTAATCTCATTATATAGTGCACGCAGTGTCGAGTCATTTGGACTGGTGGCCACATTGCAATATGGTTGATAACATTCGATCTGCACTAATAAGGACTTGATGTACATGACATTGATCACCACCCAGTGATCGATCAATTGTGATTACATCTCAGTCCTACAGGAGGTCGGTCGCGGCCCGGATAGCTAAATGGTAACGTCTCTGACTAACGGGTGACGCGGGATCGAATCAGTTAGGGAGCACCAGTTCCCTCAAGATTACAGGTACACCTTGCTGACGAGTGCCAAGTAGCACGATACCCGGGTCCAGGGTTTCCTGTCGTCTACCTCCAACAACCACCATCCTTCTATTCTTTTCTTCCCGCCCCTTGATTATTACATAACCTCGAATTGATTCAGGATGTAATCAATACTATCTTACCATAGACTCATATAATTTCCATGGCAATGTATAATTTAAGTAAATGATTACGTTGAAAAAGAAAAGATTTTTCTTTGCTGAAGTTTACAACAACAAAAACAAAACAAATTAAACTTTACTTGAGTTTTTTGAGTAGAACATAATGCATCAAGTTCCATATTCTTAACTTTCAATAATTGATCAATATTATCTGATTGAATTTTATCTCTAATAAGAAATAAAAGATAAGTAGGTTAGTGATCAAATGAGAAATAGGCTTAGCAACATAAAAAGAAAAGTTAAATAAGAATAACAACTTTACAGTGTGTGTGTTTCGAATATTCCTTGGTTAATATACATTTTAAGGTATGTTACTTACTTACATACACTTGTTAGCCCTCATGAAAAAGAATAGGCCACCCATTAGCATGCTCCATCTAAATCTGTCCTGGTCTATCTTTTTCATGTCTACTTCCATTTTCCGATGTAGTGTGTTCTTTAGCCTTTCTCATTTCCATTTTCTTTCAGAATTCCAAGTTACTGCTTGCTTCGCGATGTAATTTGATGATTTCCATAATGTATATGCTATCGGCCTCCAGTGTGTTTACCGAATATCCTCTTCAGCTGGAACATGGGTTTGTCTTCTTCCACGGTAGGTTGTTGCTGATAGTATCTGGCCAACGGATATTCAGTATCTTGCGTAGACAATTGTTTATAAATGCTTGTAACTATTTGGTGAGGTAATTGTCAATTCTCCAAGTTTCAGTTCCCTATAATACCATTAACTGTTTTGGCGTTCGTATTGAAGATTGTGACTTTGATGTTGGCTTGCAGACAGTTGTTTTGAGTTGGCAACATTCAATGTTACTGATTAGTGATTGACATTAGTTTTAGTCTAACATATCGCAGCTCAAAAATTTTTATAGTGAGATCTGACTTTGAGGAACTAAATAATGATAACTTTGTATTCTCTTAATTGAATTAAACTGAAAGATACTGAATGTTTTATTATGACTAAATGATTGAATAAAACCTGTTAGCTATAAGACTTGAACATTAAGAGTTTCGTTTATAAATAATGAAGAACCTGTATACTTGTGAACACCATGATCCAAGAATAAGAAACTTTATAATACTTCCTGGCATAAGGTTCCAATCTGGAAAATATTATTTCAGTAATTACAAAACATCCTGGTTCTTTATACATGACAAGAACCAAAACTTCAAATTACTAGGAATTTCTGAAAGGGTTCATAATGCATAAATGATAACACATCAATGGAATGAATTCCTTTACCGTTCTAGGACAAACTAGCTCCTCTGGTTAGTATTGAAGTTAATCTAACATACAAAATTCGTATCTTATTTATGTAATCAAAGATTTGTATATGAAGAAGGGGTTTTGTAAATATTATAGTAATTTTAATGGTTGAGATCATGAATCAATGAAAGCTAAACCATCATTGAAAACCTGGAAGCGCTGAACAGTTGTTTCGTCCTATCCTTGGAATTCTAGTGAGAACCTGTGACCAATGGAATTCAACTGCGTCTGTTGTGAGATACTAAATCATTGGTGAGAATGGCGGATGTGTCGTTCAATTTCGTGGATTAGTTGATGTTAGATATTAACACCGTTGAATGCCGGCCATATCAGTGGTCTAGAGGATAAGCGCTCGTATGTGAGACTGATAGGTCCTGGGTTCGAACCTCATGAGGCGTGATCGTGGATCCACAGTAATGAGGAGCCACACAATAGGACGAAACGACAGTCTAGTGTTTCCAGGTTTTTCATGGCGGTCTAGCTTCAAATGACTCATGATCTCAACTATTAAAATATGTAAAGGAATAAAACTGTTGACGTAAACAATACAAACAAACATTCAAAAGTTCAAAACTACATATAACCGCCACACCTCTTTGTAACCAAGAACAAAAGAACACGGATAAAATATAAAATATAAGTGAATTATTATATTTTACACTGAATATATTGTGTTCTTTTAGAGAGCTAGTTTTCTACGGGATGGGGTCGCTAACCCCATGCCCAACCTTACCCTTTCATCCAAGGTTGGGACGAGCCATAACCCCGAATGAACTCCAGACGGAGCCTGTGCTCCATCGGGAATAACAAGCGTAAGTAAGTCAGTAAGTAACACTGAATATATTGACAAGATAATATTATGAGTTGACTAACCTTTCTGTAGATAAATTTTCTTTAAAATAACTAAGTTGATTATTAAGTTCTTGACATTTAGCTTGAAGTTGTGCATTCTGCAATAACAATTTCTTATCTTCATTCGTTTTCATTGATGTTAATTGATCAAGTTGAATATTTTGATCATCTTTAATCTTTTTAAGACTGGAAATCTTTGTTTACAAAGTGGAAAAACATAAGAATATTACTTAGACTATGGTATAGGTTATCAGTAAACTAAATATAAGCCTTAATACATTATACAATAATAATACGAATAGAAATTGGTTGAACATAGTTAAGTATTTTAAAAACCTCATAAAACTACAGGCAAAAATAGATAGTGACTAGTAATGGAATCCAGTTTGACGAGAGTTTCTTCCTATTTAAAACTTGTCAGCTGAATGTACCTGCATCTCAGAGTTGATGTTCACTCTGGTTCTCAAACTTTGGGACTCTGGGACCCAGTACCGTTCACTTCAAACGCCATCCACTGAGTCTACTGAGTCCTGATAGTCACCTACTTGTGCAATGAAATGAAGTTTAAATTCATATGGTGCTGTTTACTTAAATCTTCTGATTGTTGTTTAGGATTGTCTCCTATTGTAGAGTGTGAGGACTGCCTTGATATTGTCTCAAGTCACAAGCATTATAAACAAAGATGTTTATTTAGGCTAATTATACACTTATCAATATTTTGTAATGAATAGTGAATCAAGACATGAGTAACATTGTTTATGCAATACAACTAATTCTCATTCAATCCTTCTCTGATGTTCATTCTGAATTAGGTTTTCACTTTATGAATTTATCTTACATGTATGCCTTTAGGATTACTCATCATTCACTCCTACAATTGATCAGTTCTTCTATATTACCTATTATTCGTTACTGTACTTCATTATTCTTACCTGGGATTTTCAGAAAAGACTTTACTGTATTGCGGAGAATGCTGAAGGCAGTTAGCAAGTTGTGTGGTGAATCTTTCAAGGTCATAATTAATATGGTTGTGGATAGACATCTAAAGTCATGCAAACTCCAGACAGGTGTTATTTTACCAGATACTAACGATCCCCTTCACTCTTATCTTTCTCCTTGTATATCTTCTGGTAGAACGAGACGTAGTTACATTAAAATCCATGCACGCAAGCTAAAGTATAAAAGTTCTATAATACCTTACCTAGCAAATATGCTCTGTGACGAACAGGTTGTTAAAGTTAACCTAATCAATAACCTGCATTTTTAACATGTCTCTAATTTGAAAAGTAGTACAGATTCAGATCTTGTTTTCACCTTATTCTCTTCCTCTTTTTGTTGTTTTCGTTTTATTTTTGTGTTTTTTATAAAAGAAACTTGTTAAAATAATTCGATCTGAGTATTATATATTGAAATTTAATAGTTGAGATCATGAGTCAATTGAAATTAGACAAGCATAAAAAACCTGGAAGTACTGGATGGTCGTTTTGTCTTATAATGAAACTCCACAATAGTACGTATTCATGACTTCACTTGGCATGATTCGAACCCCAGAAGTATCAGTTTCGCATGTGAATGGTTAATATATAGATCACTGAGCCGCACACAGCAGTGTTAATGTCTAACTTCAACCAATCCAAGAAACTGTGTCACCTTCCATCATTGTTATCACGAAGGACCTGGCTGAACTCTACTGGTCACGGTTTTTTACTAGAACTCCAGGAAATACCTCTTGAAGTCAGTCACTAGTGAGCATATGTTAACTGTTATCAGAAAGGGGTTTTTGTGGATATTATAATAATTTCAGTAGTTGAATTCATGAGTCAATTGAAGCTAGATTACCATAGAAGAGCTAGAAGTACTGGATGATCGTTTCATCCTACTGTGGAACTCTTCAGTAGTGAATGTCCACGATTCCACCTACGTGGGATTCGAACCCAAGATCTTTCGCTCTCAAGTGTGAACGTTTATATTGCACCAAAAATATAATATTGAATAAAGTCATTAATAATACATTTCATTAGATACACATCATGCACTTACTTCAGCTTCATATAATAACTTTAAATTCTTAAATTCTAAACGTTCATCAATTAAAGTTTTATTAAGATTTTGTATTGCATCAATAAGTAATCTGTTTTGATCTTGATAACATTTTAGATCAGATTGTAAAATTAAAATTTGTTCACGATATTTTGATTCTAATTCATTAATTATCTAAAACAAGAAAGAAACAGAAGAAAAATTAAATAAAAATTTGGTTGTTTTTTTAAAATTGAGATTATGAACTAATTGATGTTACACCACCGTTGAAAACCTGGAAGTATTGGACGGCTGTTTCACCCTAGTGTGGGTCTCTTCAACAGGGTGCATCCACAATACAGCCTCGTGAGATTCGGACACAGTAACTATCAGTATCGTGTGTGAACACTTAACATCTAGACCATTGAGCTGGCTGGCATCCTCTGGTGTTAATGTCTTACTTCAACTAATCCATAAAATTGAGCGACACATTCGTCATTGTCACCAGTGAGTTACTATTTCACAACAGACCCAACTGAACTCCATTAGTCACTGCTTCTCATTAGAACTCCAGGAAATGCTTCTTCAAGCCAGTCACCAGTGAGCATACGTTGATTCACATCAGAAAGCGGTTTTTGTGAAGATTTTAGTAATTACAGTAGTTGAGATCATGAGTCGGTTTAAGCTTAATGTTATCACTAATTATATGTTCTTAAAATATATATTATTACATCATATAACATCGCATAATACAGCATTTTAAACTGTTATTCTACAAATTCATTGTTTGAGATAGGCTGAATACACTTTTTTAAAACACTATTAGGGAATAGGTCAGTTGTTTATAATTGATTAACTCATACTGCTTACCTTAAGTTTTAAAATATTCGCTTTCTCTTCAATTGGAATAGAATCATATTGTTTAGCAGTTGATTTATATTCTTTTAATTCATTTTCATCAATTATTAATGAGTTGGATTGTTGTTTTTCTTTTAATTTTGATTCCATAATTGATACATTTAAACGTAATTCAAGCTGATTATATGTATTCAAAAGTTATTCAATACGTGTATACACATATATAGACGAATGTACATATATTATAGTTCGTTCGATGAATGTTTGTTGTTCTATAATGCTAATGAGTAACCATGTCAAAATTCATGTGTCTTATATAGGTCACCTAGATGGGATATATATATATATATATCTTTTTAAACCATAGTATATGGATTTAGCATTGTTAACAAAAAAGAACACAATTTTTAATTTCACTTGTTATTATTTACTTGAATCTTCCCATTAATGTTTAAAATCGTAATCGATCAGTTTTATATTGGCATACGTGCATCCTGTGTGTATTGCCTTAATTAACAAACATTCCAAGCAAAGATGAACAGCAATTAGGAGTGGAATCCAGGACTGGTATCTCGTCATATTTTGGAATCGTCAGCTGGATGTACCTGCATGCCAGAGTTGATGTTTATCCTAGGACTCAAATCCAATACAGTTAGTTTCAAATGCCGTCGCGTTATCCACTTAGCTACTTAGTTCTGATAGCCATTTGCTTGCGATAGGGTGAAGTTTTGATTCACTTGGTATTGTTGTTTAGGACTGCAACTGGTCAATCCCTTGTCGGCATACGTGCATATGGCGTTTGAAGAGAACCGTGCTGGAGTGGACATCAACTGTGGGATACAGGTATATTCAGATGACGAGCCCCAAATAGGACGAAACACGTGTCTCGGATTTCACTGCTAGCCACCATCCATCTTCATTTGCGATTCGTGTTAACTTATGATTATTGTGTTCTTCTCGATGTCCACACTCATTTTAAAATTCATAGACAGTCTTTATACGTTACTTTTAAACGGAAATATCAAGGTTATTTTAAAATAATCCAAATAAAGGGATGTTTAATTTTGAGTTTAAACAGTCCCTAAAAATAATCCATATACACTAAATCAAAGGATGCTTCAATGAGACATTGCACTACAAGTTACCAAAATGGATGTTAAGTGAGTTTTATGGTTACTCAATAAAAGCCTGTAAGCCACTAAAAAACGAATGGTAAACAATCGTTCAGATAAAAACCAAACCCTTATGAATAATACCTTCTTTTTTTATAGTATCTTTTACGCTTTTTACTTATTTCGGTTATTGTATTGAGCACTCTAATGGAAATATTCAGCCTAAATTGAGTAATAAATATTTGCCCCTTAATCTCCACCATTCAAACTAGATCTGGACATAACAAACAAAAAGGATTTTTAAGACTCAGATCCACAATCAATATGTTGGCAAAATAGGTTGGTGAAAGATACTGGAAGCGAACCTTAAGGGTGAAATCGGTAAGTCCTAGAGTGTAAAAGAGAATATATCTACTAATGATATCATAGACCAGGATAACGTATATAAAACATCTGATGATCAGAAGAACCTAACTGAAGAACCGGAGCGATGAGACTAAAATAGTAACAACTTGTAAGTCTTTCTATTCAGATACGTTCTGTAAACAATGGTGTTTAACCTGAGAAGTGTATCAAGACAGGTTCAACCGAGTCAATGGGTTTGATGACAAAAGGTCATACAACATCGAAAGATAAATAAAATTAAATCATAGAATCATTAGATTCCAAAATGCTAGAAAATGGAGCCTCGTTATAAATGCCAACCATGTATACCGTTAATTATGAAAATCAGGAGTTTACTACGAACAGTAAATGTACACGGATAATCCGGAAAGTTTCTAGAATTTGGAGGAATAATGTCTAGATATCAGAGTTTTTGAGGGTGTTAAGGCGTTTACTATAAAACGGCTGGTGAACAAAATAGACTCACAAACACACGTGTGAGACAAACTCTTATGTTATAGAAAACAATAAGAGTACAATAATAGTTTTTAATTCAGAAAACCATTTTCAATTTCATACAGCTCAGTAACCCAGAATAAATTTATGTATTTCATTTCTTGAAACACGTTCGTAATATAGAATGGGGTTGAGATTTATGGTACGTCAAACCAGTCAGTCAGAATGTAGGACCTGGTACATATGTACATCGGTTCAAGTTGCCGCATCTCATTAGGATACCAATATGAAATTGTCAAACTAAATCACAGAATAGTCAAGTTAACAACAGTATCAGTGGTAATAGAAATGATTAAGCATCGCAGATATGACTCGAAAAGAAAATATAAATTTGCGAAATCAAACCACGAAGGTATAGAGAATTCATAATCTCAGGATTCGGGAGAAGACAGAGAACGAATGCACCTGCGCCATTGCAAAAAATTTCGAGCCATGTCATTCAAAGTCTCTAACCATTGGTTACGATAGTCACGAGGGCTAAAACCAGATAATCTGTACCTATTAACATGGTTTAGTCCAATTGCCAGAGAATCTATTGACTGATACCACGTTTTGGTTTATCTGCATCTAGATCCATTCCGGCCTGTTCTTGTATCATAAAATATTGCCCATCGAGGTAGGCGGTGGTTAAAAATATACGGCTTTAGAACACGAGGTATGTAACCCTTGATCTGAGAAATATTGTTAGATGTAGATCATCACGTTGAGGTTCTCGAGATTTCGGTAGCAAATGTTCAGTAATGTTGATCAGATTGCTCGAAACTTATCGCATTGGGAAAGCTGAAATTAATTCTAACTTTCCTTTAGATTCTGAGCGGAACTTATCTCGAAAATTTTATCTCGTTCTGTTGACATGTTGTTGGGCATTGAAATGATGCAATTATATGCCAGGTATTTTGATGTGTAATATTTTAACTATTTCGGCTCCGAAAATAAAGCCGATGACGTAAAGCCAAAACCGAGGACTTAATTGTTGTAAGCTTAAAACTACCACCTCAAATCAGCGTTTGACCTGTATAAATAAATATCCAACCCATTTATTTTGAGGAAAAGATGATCAATTTTAGGGAAGCTGCAATAGGAAATTCCGCAGAAATGCGACAAAACCACGTACACTTTCCCATATTCTTATAAAAATCTCAAATTATTTTTGACAAACACTCCTGCTGTAAATTTACAAACATGATCTTAGATCGGAGAACCGAGAAGATCACTAATATATTGTACAGAAAGCAATGGTGTTGTGAAGAAAGACGGGATAAGAGCGTCAAAAACTTACGGTTAGATCTTTGAATAAAGTTTTATAAAACCAATTAAGTTTAAGAGATTATTTGAATCTCTCGGAAAACATGAAGCCGAAGTGTGTTGAAAGAATGTTCCCAGAAATGTGTGTTTTATTCCTAGAACTTTTGTGGCTGTATGACTCAGACGACTGAAATCATAAATTTTCAAACTGTATATGGACTGCTTTGAAAACATGCACGTTTATGGTTTACTAACATACGACCTACAGTTACTTGATATAAACTCTACAAAAGGTCGTCGTTCAATCCAATAAGCAATCCTCAATACTTTCATGAAGATCTTATATAAGTTGTTTGTTGTCATTATGATGGTTTCTTATTGTTATGCAGATATACTTACTATCGTTTTCACGAGCTTATATAAACCAATTAATCTTTTGCTCTGCCTTCTTGTAGTTTCGATACAAATCCGTTTAATGGGTATAGTCCTATGTGTGACAGTCTAGCCAGATAATTACACTAATTAAGGTCAGTTTGGTAGTTATTTGCACGCTTCTATATCCTTTAATTTGAATGAGTGAGATGAAAATTAATCAGTAAGTGTTTTTCAAGTCACCTCTTGAAGCTATACACTGAGTAGTCTGTGGTCACAACGAACAAAGCAGATAGAGAAATCCTTAATGGGAAAAATTAGTTGTGTATATGGGCTATCGCTCTTTAGCATGGAATTTTTCAAGGGCTTCCCCAAGTAGAATGATGACGATGTCCCTGTTGAGGTGACTTAACGTACCAAGTATGTCATGTTCCATTTTCAGGTCAGTCCTTCGTCTCTGTATCCTAGAGGAAATAGTCATTGGTGTCAGAGTCTGTCTTCAAATGGGTTGTTTCACAGCTTTTTCGCCCATTTTGTCTCTTGTATCTGTGCTATGTCGAACAGGATTCTATGTCTTTTAAGGGGATGAGACGCACAACATTGTAGACTTCGAGTTAAATTCGTGAGAACATTATCAACAATGCTAAAAGTGAACCTGATGTGAATTCACCAGTTTGTTCTGGATAAAGTGGCGATTCGCACTTGTTTTATTTGCTAGCTTCCAAGTTTTCTTGGATTAATTGTCTTATATCACGATTTGTTTGTCATGGTGCTGAAACCTTATAGCATAGTATTTTGACAAGCTAAACTGTCCATTGTCCAAACCTCTATCGCTGTGATGTAATTTCAGAACCCAGTCTAAGCCTTTGATCCTTGTTACGAATCTAGTATGTGACTGAAAAGGTCACATACTTGTGTACAGATGGCTTTCATGCTCCAATCACAGGTCATATACTGTTGCATCATGGCGGTTTTCCAAGACTCAAGGAATTCAAATTTCTCAGAACGCGAACCAGGCATTATATATATAGTTCTCAGGTCATCAGCTGTCAGTTTGCAGACTTTCTTTTGAATAAGGAGTTATGGAGATATTTTCAATGAGCTTGAACATAAACTTATAGATAGTTCTGGAAAAATTTATTGCTTCACACTTTGATGTAACATCTGTTACTGAATCCCAGGTTAGTGCTACTGTTAGAATTTCCTAGAGCGAATTCTCATTAGAGACAGGCTTTCGGTTCATCTTACAGCCTCGCTTTCCATAAGTGCTTTAAGTTGCATGTACGTTGTGTAAGATAGCTAGCTAGATAGTGTTCCTCACTGTCTCTCAGTGATCATCCGTTGTCAGGTTTTGTCGTTCATGTAGCCATAGGAGATGAATATGAGTAACTATGGTCATTACTACTTTCTGATGCGTGAACATGCACACGTCCGACTAAATCATTTGTCGGCGAACAGTTTAACTTGAGGGTATTCCGCCTTTTGCCGGTCGATATATCGGTCGTTGATTCTATTTAAAAGTCTCTATTTGCGAGGTTGTGGAATGAATCGTGTTGTAAATCGAGTTGACTAGTGCTTTCTGTAGTAAATTTCCAAGCAACCAGAACAGACGAATGTCACGGTATGATCATACACAGGTGTAAACAGGAAACGATCCACTGAGCTATCGATCGATTCAGTCCCTAGTGCACCGACAAAATACTGGAGAGATGAGTAAGTCAGCTGCTTTGGCATGAGTAAAATTGGAAAGTACATTTATGTAGGAGAGACTATTATAAACATAAATTTTTCAATAGTTTCAAATGCCGACCTTCAAACACAACAGGGAAATTGATCCAGTGCAACTTCACTGAAGTGTTAATCAGTTTTCAAAGAATCACTTAATATCTCTAGACCAGCCTTATAAATTTCGAGCAAAGGATTATGTTGAGGTCAGATACAGAACAAACAAACGTCTGTACTATGAAGCATGCAGAACTATGATATTAGTACTGCTCTAATAATAGACCTAATCTTAGTGTTGTAGATTTATCATGATGTAACTGCCCAACCTATAAGATCTTACGTGAAAGTTCCATTATTGTCTACACCAAATCATCGTGTCATAACAATCATCAATATATAGTGAAGAATACATCTAGGCTGGAGATAGAACAATATATTTAATATGAACAAAAGATATATAACTACACTAAGGTTGCGATTAGAAGCCCATACCTTCAATGGACCTATTCTTGACCATCAGTCGCACATTCGGCACGGTTTAAACGTTAGGTCCTTTTGAAATGTGCCCGCCCTTTCGTTTCAGCGACCTTGAACGGCTTGATTAGAGGCGGTCATTCCGTATTTCAATTGCCGTGGGTTGGTTGGTTTGCATGAGTATCAATTTTTTTCATATATAAGTCATCCTATGCTACATAAAAAGCACGAAATAAATAGCAAAACCATTAATTTAGCGTTCTCTGTTTTGTAGTGTGCACTTTGGCTCTGTTGTTGCTTTGTAATTTGATCTTTGATCCCAACAATTGTAGTAAAGCTAAACGAAATGTCAAGTCACAGGTAAATCTCAAGTATTTGTAGTATTTCCTTGGGTTATTATTGTTGCAAGGAATAACTGTTTAATAATTAGTCATGTCTGTTCTTAGTGCTTCATCCTCAAGTGACATTTCAGTCGACCTAACCGATGCCTTTCGAAGTATGATACTGAACAAGCGTTTCGTGTTGTGGGATGATTTTGAAAGTGCCTTAAAAGAGTTCCAAAAAGTATGGAACTATAATTTTATCGCTTCTCAGACTACTTATACTCGTTACATCCACACAGAAAGCAGATTGCTGAAGGATGTCAGGTTCAGATACCTGTTTGTATCGTTTAATTGTACGTTTGGTCACAAACGGAAATCGGAAGGTTTGAAAGTGAGGCAAAAATCGTAAGATCTTTAACTAATATCTTATGTTTAAGGTCTAAATTCCGTAATTGTCAATCTAAATTCCGTGTAAGACTGGAAGAGCAAGGATATGTCATCAAATCCTACAAGATGATACACAATCATCCATGTAGTAGTTCATGGATGGTATGTGATCCATGGACAAGGAGATTATCGTCAGAAGAAAAAGAGAACTTGAAGCCCGTAATACTTCACTGTGAGTCAGCAGACGAAGTTATCGAAAGTATTAAGGAGAGAACTGGTAAGCAAGTAACTGCTGCCGATGTCAAAGCTATGAAAGCTACACTCTCCACTGGTAAGTGTATATAAATATATTTCAGGTTGTTGTACTCGGAAGCAAGTAATGGATATGCTTAGACAAAAAGGCGAAGTGAGGGAGCATTTAGAAAATGGATATGCGACGAGAATATGTTTCAGTAGTTATAACCAAATACAACTCTATAGGAAATATCCAGAAGTCGTGTGCATTGATTCTACGTATAATACTAATAATAAAAAGTGAATATGTTTATCGTTGTGTTTTACTATGTAGATATTCCTTATTCCAGATAGTGGTGACGGATAATTTCGGTCAACTAGAAGAAGTGTCGAAGATCAATTGATAGCCGGAAGATATTATAAATATAATGCTCCACAACGTTTAATACCCTTGCTAAATATTTTGACGCCATTCGCAAGATCTAAAGTGTTATACGAGCTTAAACAAATGCGTTTTGTCTACGTGGAATATGAAAGCGGCGACTGGTTGTTCATGGTTGACCGTGGACAACATTATGAAATACTAACTGCATAGCTCATCAACTTCTTAGGTATTGTAGCAGATGGAAGTTACACAATACCCAGGACTTCCAAAATTATACATTAACTGCATTACCACGACGGAGTGAAGAGTATGTAAGTATTCAACGCAGCCAAAGAATCCATAAACATCGCATCATTGAGAAGTATGGTGAACGCTTCGCAACAGAAGTTGAGAAGAAAGTTGACAATTATTACTTAAGAATTCTTAATACCAACTTGTAAACTTGATTTTCTGCTTTAGCAGCAACGATTCTTCAATAAACTTTCATAATTTCAATTTTCATCTTATTACTACTTTTATGGGAATGAATAGCAATGATGTTCATGTGTAACTGTTTGTAATAATTAAGATTGATTAAGAAACCCTACATCGACGTACAGTTTTGCAGATTAGGCACCCACATATCATATTCACCTTCGTGGGATTACGTTTATCATTAAAATCGTATCAGTACCTATGTACATTTTAAGTTCATGTGATTAATTCCGCTTATGAATCAAAATAAAACCAGGAGAAATGTTGATTAACAGTGGTATGCATTCATTACAACTAAATATGCAATAGGATTTAACAGTGATGTGGGAAACAGTTGACATACCTGAATATGAATAAATGAAATGACGCAGGTTATCAATAGTGAATATATATATATATATGCAGTGTAAGGTCAAAGGTCATTTGCTTTTACAGTCAATAACACATTAAGAATGGGTGATATAATAGTTGACTGTAGTTCACAGACAGATAAGTGGTGTGAAAATCTTATAGCTTGTAAATGATCCGTGGATTTAAGAACTGAAAACTTGAGTTACGTCATAATTGATTACAATTTGCAGAGGTCACGTAATTACAGAGGATTAAGTGACAGGGTGATGGAAAAAATGCGTAACTAAATTTTAAAAGTGAAATGAATTATTACATAATCATTCTTATTACTTGTTCATTCCATGGATTATAAGGAGTTCATATTATTCTCTATCTATATTTGTTCTAGCGTCATATCGACTATTAATAAATACTGACATGGTTTATAACGTAAGACACTAAGTGTAGTTGCTATATTTATATTTCACTAATTCATTTGTTGAATAAAAATGATTTTAATATGGTCTTCCATAATCACAAATTCTATAA